GTCGTGTTTCACAAAGGACACCCAGAGAGAAGCGGGCCCACCGTTACTGCCGCGGCAAGCGTTAGTAGACGGGCTGGTGTGAGTTCCCCCTTCCTCTTCCTCTCATCTCCCCCCCCGCCCGCTCGCTCCCCCCACCCCGACTTACTGAGCCATCCCACGCTGGGGCTGCGCGGCACCCGGATTTCGTCATCCAACGTGCGGGTCGCTAGGCAGGGCACGGAGCTCTCGAGCGGGCTGCGTGCTTGTGCCATGCAAGCAGGAGACAGCGGCAGCAGCAAAGAGGAGGAAGAGAGAAAAGTTAAAGGGAAAAAAAAAAAAATAAAAAAAAAAAAAAAAGCAAGAAAGAAACGTTCAAGCAATTGCACAAGCAAGCCGGGTAGGAGATGGAGTGTTTGGACGCTGGGAGTTACACACGAGTGCCCCTTTGCGCACAGCTGGGTGACCGAAGCGGTTCGCCTGCTCCTTTGGAGCTCATCTCCTCCACAGCTCCACCTCGCAGCGTTCCGGTGGCCGCTCCGGAGTCAGCTTTCCATCCCTGGTGGCTTTTCTTCAGCTCAGAAGCGGGTTCCAAGGAACCGAGTCAGGCAGCGGCGGTGCTGAGCGCTCCCGAGCTGCGGCGCGGTCAGTAAGAAAGGCAAATACAGGGGAGTTTAAAAAAAAATAATAAAAAAATCAGGTCTCGTCCCTGTAGGAGCCAACTTGGAGCATCCTGACCACTTATGTCCCCAGGTGCACCAGCTCAGGCTTGGAAACGCTTGGAAACCTGGTCCTGCAAGGCTTCAAGGAACGCCCACAGCTGAACACATCGGTGGGGTTTTCCAAGCGTCCCTTGAAAACTTCTCATTCCTAACCAAAAACTTCTCCTGTGCTGCTGTTAACTCAGCTGACACCACCACTCAACTCTCTAAAGGGACCGTGGATGCAATTGGTATGAGAAACACTTAATGAAGCTCAACTCTAGTGTAGAATTAAAACTTTAGAGGAGAAAAGTTTCCTACTGTTGCTAGACACAAAGAACTCTTAGAAAGCCAGTCAACAAAAGAAGACACGCCAAAAAAAACAACCAACCCAAACCACTGAAAAACCCTGCAGGAGTTCAACTGAAATGTAAAAATGGAAATGTCCTTGTTGAAGGCTTCCTATAGCTCAACCTTCCACCAATAAAAGAAACAGCAAAGGCGGTGTCCTCGTGAGGTAACTTTGAGTAATTACTGGGTACCGCTTTGTCTGCTCCCCTTTCTGAT